AGTTAGAGCTAAAGAAGGAGTAGCAATAATGTTGAAGGATAAGCTATGACAGGAAAAGAGGGACTATAAATGTAATAATTCAAGGATTATGTGGAGTAAAATAAAGATTGGATGTGAAAAGTGGGTTATAATAAGCGTGTATGCACCTGGAGAAGAGAGAAGTGTAGAGGAGAGAGAGAGATTTTGGGAAATGTTGAGTGAATGCGTGGGGAGTTTTGAATCAAGTGTGAGAGAAATGGGGTTGGGGATTTCAATGCTAAAGTAGGTAAAAATATTATGGAGGGAATAGTAGGTAAATTTGGGGTGCCAGGGGTAAATGTGAATGGGGAGCCTTTAATTGAGCTATGTGTAGAAAGAGATTTAGTAATAAGTAATACATATTTTATGAAAAAGAGGATAAATAAATATACAAGGTATAATGTAGCACGTAATGAAAGTAGTTTATTAGATTATGTATTGGTGGATAAAAGGTTGATGGGTAGGCTCCAGGATGTACATGTTTATAGAGGGGCAACTGATATATCGGATCATTATTTAGTTGTAGCTACAGTTAGAGTAAGAGGTAGATGGGAAAAGAGGAAGGTGGCAACAACAAGTAAGAGGGAGGTGAAAGTGTATAAACTAAGGGAGGAGGAAGTTCGGGTGAGATATAAGCGACTATTGGCAGAAAGGTGGGCTAGTGCAAAGATGAGTAGGGGGGGGGTTGAAGAGGGTTGGAATAGTTTTAAAAATGCAGTATTAGAATGTGGGGTAGAAGTTTGTGGTTATAGGAGGGTGGGGGCAGGAGGAAAGAGGAGTGATTGGTGGAATGATGAAGTAAAGGGTGTGATAAAAGAGAAAAAGGTAGCTTATGAGAGGTTTTTACAAAGCAGAAGTGTTATAAGAAGAGAAGAGTATATGGAGAGTAAAAGAAAGGTGAAGAGTGGTGAGAAAGTGCAAAAGGAGAGCAGATGATAGAGTGGGAGAGGCACTGTCAAGAAATTTTAATGAAAATAAGAAAAAATTTTGGAGTGAGTTAAACAAGTTAAGAAAGCCTAGGGAAAGTATAGATTTGTCAGTTAAAAACAGAGTAGGGGAGTTAGTAGATGGGGAGATGGAGGTATTAGGTAGATGGCGAGAATATTTTGAGGAACTTTTAAATGTTGAGGAAGAAAGAGAGGCGGTAATTTCATGCACTGGTCAGGGAGGTATACCATCTTTTAGGAGTAAAGAAGAGCAGAATGTAAGTGTGGGGGAGGTACGTGAGGCATTACGTAGAATGAAAGGGGGTAAAGCAGCTGGGACTGATGGGATCATGACAGAAATGTTAAAAGCAGGGGATGATATAGTGTTGGAGTGGTTGGTACTTTTGTTTAACCCTTTCAGGGTCCGTCCCGTAGATCTACGGCTTTACGTTCAGGGTCCAAACCGTAGATCTACGCCATGAGCTCAGCTTACTCTGATAAACTGTGAGTGGTACATTTGGGCCTAGATATGAGAGAATACATCTAGGTGGTATGTGTGCACCACATAAAACAGATCCTGCAGCACACTGTGTATAATGAGAGAAAAAAACTTAAATCATGATTTTTCGATTAAAACAGCAACTTTGCAGTGTTTTTTCGTATGTTTTTTATAGTTGTATTTGCGATTTCTTGGTCTCATTTGATAGAATGGAAGACATATTACAGAAATAGAGATGATTTTGATTGGTTTTAGCACTGGAAATGGCTTGAAACTGAGCTCAAAGTAGCGGAAATGTTAAATTTTTGCCGATATTCAAGAGTAAACAAACGACCTCACACGTCTAATACACACCAGCTGGTGGGTCTAATATACATTCACAAATATGGTGATGATATTTTATACAATTATTACAGTATTGCATAAGAGTAAATCTTCTATTTTTTGGTGTGAATAAAAATTCATTATGTGAATAAAAAATCAAAATGGAATTTATTTGTAAAGCCTCAAAACAAACTAATGAACAGAGGAAACGTTAGTTTAGTGCCAGGAATGCCTACATTGTTTATTCTGGACCCTATTTTGAAATTGGAATATTTTGAACTTTGTGTTAAATTGGCCAAATTAACAATTTCCGATCACTTTATTTTGTAGTTGAAACAGTTGACTTGGAGATTTCTTGTGCTCAATCGATAGAATAGAAGTAATACTAGTGAAATAGCTAAGAATTTGGTTGATTGGAATAATGTAATTGGCCTAAAATGGGAGTCAAAGTCGGCAAAATCGCCGATTCGTAAATGTCGCTGACACATCAAAATTCGCGAGAGCATAATTTCGTCAATTTTCCACCAAATTTCGTACTTTTTGTTTTATTACCTTCACAAAAAGATTCTCTACGATTTCATAAGAAAAAATAACAAATTTTTTTTTTTTAAATTCTTGGACACTGGTGCGTAACTCCAGATTTGGGCCTTGGACCCTGAAAGGGTTAATAAATGTATGAAAGAGGGGAAGGTATCTAGGGATTGGCGGAGAGCATGTATAGTTCCTCTATATAAAAGGGAAAGGGGACAAAAGAGACTGTAAAAATTATAGAGGAATAAGTTTACTGAGTATACCAGGAAAAGTTTACGGTAGGGTTATAACTGAAAGAATTAGAGGTAAGACAGAATGTAGGATTGTGGATGAGCAAGGAGGTTTCAGAGTGGGTAGGGGATGTGTAGATCAAGTGTTTACATTGAAGCATATATGTGAACAGTATTTAGATAAAGGTAGGGAAATTTTTATTGCATTTATGGATTTAGAAAAGGCATATGATAGAGTGGATAGAGGAGCAATGTGGCAGATGTTACAAGTACAGTGTATATGGAATAGGTGGTAAGTTATTAAATGCTGTAAAGAGTTTTTATGAGGATAGTGAGGCTCAGGTTAGGGTGTGTAGAAGAGAGGGAGACTATTTTCCGGTAAAAGTAGGTCTCAGACAGGGATGTGTAATGTCACCATGGTTGTTTAATATATTTATAGATGGGGTTGTAAAGGAAGTAAATGCTAGGGAGTTCGGGAGAGGGGTGGGATTAAATTTTGGGGAATCAAATTCAAAATGGGAATTGACACAGTTACTTTTTGCTGATGATACTGTTCTTATGGGAGATTCTAAAGAAAAATTGCAAAGGTTAGTGGATGAGTTTGGGAATGTGTGTAAAGGTAGAAAGTTGAAAGTGAACATAGAAAAGAGTAAGGTGATGAGGGTATCAAATGATTTAGATAAAGAAAAATTGGATATCAAATTGGGGAGGAGGAGTATGGAAGAAGTGAATGTTTTCAGATACTTGGGAGTTGATGTGTCGGCGGATGGATTTATGAAGGATGAGGTTAATCAAAAGAATTGATGAGGGAAAAAAGGCGAGTGGTGCATTGAGGTATATGTGGAGTCAAAAAACGTTATCTATGGAGGCAAAGAAGGGAATGTATGAAAGTATAGTGGTACCAACACTCTTATATGGGTGTGAAGCTTGGGTGGTAAATGCAGCAGCGAGGAGACGGTTGGAGGCAGCGGAGATGTCCTGTTTAAGGGCAATGTGTGGTGTAAATATTATGCAGAAAATTCGGAGTGTGGAAATTAGGAGAAGGTGTGGAGTTAATAAAAGTATTAGTCAGAGAGCAGAAGAGAGGTTGTCGAGGTGGTTTGGTCATTTAGAGAGAATGGATCAAAGTAGAATGACATGGAAAGCATATAAATCTATAGGAGAAGGAAGGCGGGGTAGGGGTCGTCCTCGAAAGGGTTGGAGAGAGGGGGTAAAGGAGGTTTTGTGGGTGAAGGGCTTGGACTTCCAGCAAGCGTGCGTGAGCGTGTTAGATAGGAGTGAATGGAGACGAATGGTACTTGGGACCTGACGATCTGTTGGAGTGTGAGCAGGGTAATACTTAGTGAAGGGATTCAGGGAAACCGGTTATTTTCATGTAGTCGGACTTGAGTCCTGGAAATGGGAAGTACAATGCCTGCACTTTAAAGGAGGGGTTTGGGATATTGGCAGTTTGGAGGGATATGTTGTGTATCTTTATATGTATATGCTTCTAAACTGTTGTATTCTGAGCACCTCTGCAAAAACAGTGATAATGTGTGAGTGAGTGTTGAATGATGAAAGTATTTTCTTTTTGGGGATTTTCTTTCTTTTTTGGGTCACCCTGCCTTGGTGGGAGACGGCCGACTTGTTGAAAAAAAAAAAAAAAAACATGCATGTGTAGTGTGACCTAAGTGTAAGTAGAAGTTGCATGTTTGCAAGACAGAAAAAAGACACCAGCAATCCTACATTCATGTAAAACAATTGCAGGAATAAAAAAAATTAGTACAGTGGACCCCCGGTTTACGATATTATTTCATTCCAGAAGTATGTTCAGGTGCCAGTACTGAACGAATTTGGTCCCATAAGGAATATTGTGAATTAGATTAGTCCATTTCAGACCCCCAAACATACACGTACAAACGCACTTACATAAATACACTTACATAATTGGTCGCATTGGGAGCTGATCGTAAAGCGGGGGTCCACTGTATTAATAATAGTAACACGGAAGAATTTTATCCCATTTTAAATTCCTTGTTCCCTCTGCATGTTGATATACAAGTGTTTGGAGATGGTTATAAGACTACTGAGCAGTAGATGGCTATCAGTCATCCATTTATGTTTTATCAGGTGAAGGTTGTGGGTCAGCTGTTAAGGTTTATAGTATGTACCGCTGCAGCACCAGCAGCCACTTTCTCCCAGGCCATAGAAATTTCTGAACAGAAACATTTTCATGCCTGAGCTACCTTTTCTAAAACCTTACAGGATGTATGTTTAGTCAAAACTGATTGAAAATATTCTCAATTAAAGCTTGTTTTTCACACAATGTACATAGCATTCCCACTCCTTAGTTACTCAGCTACTTTGTAGGTTATATAGACTTGTAAAACAATTGTAAATTAGGTTTTCTATTATGTATTTTATTTACAACAATAAATGTATTTAAACTGAAAGAATCCCATTAATCATAAATACAAATATGTACAAACTTACCTAAATCTCTCTTAATTTGTTCAAGGGAAATATGTGGCAATACTTCTTGTACCTGTTGGGCCATTCTGTGCACTTCAGGATTCAACATGGGATTTGCCGCTGCTGCTGCCTCTCTGGCAAGTCGCTTCATGTATTCCACCTGACCAGTAACACACACACACAGATTTATAAATATAACTTTTTTTGCAGAAAATATATTATATTTTTTCAAAAGTTAAAGTAAAAGAAAAAAGTATTCTTCTTAAATACAAGTATTTATTTTATTGATTTATTATCACACTGGCCGATTCCCACCAAGGCAGGGTGGCCTGAAAAAGAAAAACTTTCACCATCATTCACTCCATCACTGTCTTGCCAGAAGGGTGCTTGACAGTGATGGAGTGAATGATTAAATACAAGTGATGACGAAATTAAAATAAACAATTGGACCGAAGAGTTAGCATTATATCATATATACATATTCTATTCTCTGACGAAAACCTAAAACACTGTACAGCAAAACTGTTGTATGCTTATAATGTATATGTTATGTAGATATACCTGTACATTTACTACCTTCTATTGTAACCCCTTCCACTATTCTACTCTGTAGCAAAGAATATCTTAGTATGCTTTCTGTGCCTATTCATTACTCTGTAATTACAGTGTCTGCTTTCCTATTGATAGTGTTAGGACATACTTACATAATAAATGCAGTAATCATGTCTTTATTTTCTATCAGCTAACAACAGTATATATAATGCTTTTAATCATAGTAATTCATTTTTTTTAGTTCCAAGATTCATTTGTTGGTCTTCTGACTTTTTTTTTTTTTAACTTATTCACCTTTAAAGCAACAGGAGTAACCACAGACACATATTTAGTACAATAAAAAAATTAACCCTGCATTTAAAAGGTTTTTTATTTTTTTACACACTGGCTGTTTGTCACTGAGGTAGGGAGACCCAATAAAGAAACACTTTCACCATCATTCACACTATCACGTCTTACTAGAGGTGCAAAGACACGACAGTTTAGATTTCCCTCTAAACAGCAAATATCCCAAATCCCTCCTTTAGAGTGCAGGCATTGTACTTCCCACCACTAGAACCCAAGTCTGGTTAACCAGTTTCCCTGAATCCCTTCACAAAATACTACCTTTCTCACACTCCAACAGCTCGCCAAATCCCATACCTGCTGAATGTCCAAGCCCCTTACACACAAAACCTCCTTTACCCCCTCCCTCCATCCTTTCCTAGGGCGACATCTACCCTGCCTTCCCTCCACTACAGATTTATACACCCTATAACTCATCCTATTTTGCTCCAGCCTCTTTAAGTGTCCAAACCACCTTAACAACCCCTCCTCAGCCCTCCAGATAATACTTATAGTAACTCCACACCTCCTCCTAACCTCAACCTACAAATTTTCTGCATAATATTTACACCACACATAGCCCTCAAACACATCTCCATTGCCTCCAGCCTCCTTCTCACTGCAACATTCACAACCCATGCTTCACACCCATATAAGAGGTTGATACAACTATACACTCATGGATTACCCTCTTTGCCTCCTTGGATAACGTTCTTTATCTCCACAGATACCTCAATGCACCACTCACCTTTTTTACCTTCATCAATTTACAAGAGATTTTTTTTAATTCTTTCAGTAATAACTATCATATACCTTACCAGGTATATTCAACAGGTTTATTCCTCTATAATTCTTACACTCTCATTTGCTCCCTTTGCCTTTATACAAAGGAACTATGCATGCTCTCTGCCAATCCCTTCCTCTGCCCTGCCCTTCCCCTCACTCATACATTTATTAACCCTTTAAGGGTTTCTGATGTACTAGTACGGCTTACGCACCAGGGTTATTGACGTACTGGAACGCCTAAATTCTAGCGCCTTCAAATCTAGCGAGAGAAAGCTGGTAGGCCTACATGTGAAAGAATGGGTCTATGTGGTCAGTGTGTGCAGTAAAAAAAAAATCTAGCAGCACACAGTGCGTAATGAGAAAAAAAAACTTTGACCATGTTTTTGGAATAAAACAGCGATTTTGCACTGTATTTTTGTATGGTATTCTAGTTTTCCTGGTCTCATTTTATACAATGGAAGACATATTACAGAAATTGAGATGATTTTGATTGGTTTCACAATGAGAAGTGCCTTGAAATTGAGCTCAAAGTAGCAGAAATGTTCAATTTTTACCAAAGTTCAAAAGTAAACAAATCATGCCAAGCGTCCAATACACGTCAACTGGTGAGTCCAATATTTTTTCACAAGTGCGCTGATATTATTTATACAATTTCTACACTAATGCAGTAGTCTGCATAACAGTAAATCTTCTATTTTTTGTAAGAATAAAAATTCAAAGTGGAAAGCCAAAGAAATGTAAGAGGGGCCTGGGGATGTGACTAATGAACAGAGAACTTATTTTAGTGCCAGGAATGTCTTTCTTGTTTACTCAGGACCCTAATCGGAAATTGGCATCTTTTGAAATTTGTGTGAAATTGGCAAAATTGCTAAATTCTGACCACTTTATTGGATAGTTGAAATCAGTAAATGGGTGGTTTCTTGTACTCATTTGATGGAAAAAATGGAGTTCTAGCGAAATAGTTATGATTTCTGTTGACTAGTACACTGGAATTGGCTAAAAATAGGGTTCGAAGTGGGCGAAATCGCCGATGCGTAAACATCGTCGAGACCACTAACTTCACGAGAGCATAATTCCATAAGTTTTCCCTCAAATTTCATACTTTTGGTGTCATTATGATTGGGAAAAGATTCTCTGTCTTTTCATAAGAAAAAATAATTTTTTTTTTAAATTGGGGACCCTGAGAGCAAGTCTCGGAGAGGGCCTGGGGAGCCTGAAATGGTTAACCAACCATGGTGACATTACATATCCCTGTCTAAGATCTACTTTTACCGGGAAGTAGTCTAGTTATATTGTACTTTTAATGTCTTCCTGCATATTATTGCATAAAAAAATCATAATAAAATCCCCATTAACTCTTTGACTGTTTCGGTCGTTTATATACGTCTTACAAGCCACCATGTTTGACGTATATATACTCAAAAATTCTAGAAGCTTCAAATCAAGCACATGTGAGAGAATGGGTCTGTGTGGTCAGTGTCCACCATATAAAAAAAAGTCAATGCAACACCCAGTGCATAATGAGAGAAAAAAACTCCGACCGTGTTTTTGGATTAAAACACCAACTTTGAGGTGTATTTTCGTATAGTTTTTATGGTTATATTCTCGTTTTTGTAGCCACATTTGATAGAATGGAAAACATATTATAGAAATAGAAGTGATTTTGATTGGTTGTAATATGAAAAGGACCTGGAAATGGAGCTCAAAGTAGGGGAAATGTTTAATTTTTGCCGATGTTCAAGAGTAAACAAATGATGTCATTGTCTAATAAATGTCCAACTAGCCATTCTAATATGCAGTCATGAATGGGTTGATGTTATATATACAATTATTACAATATTGTAGAAGTCTGCATAACAGTAAATCTTCTATTGTTTGAATAAAAATTCAAAATAGAAAGCAAGTGTAGTATCAGAGGGGCCTGGAGACATGACTGATGAACAAAGAAAATGCTATTTTAGAGCCAGGAATATCTGCATTGCTCATTCGGGACCCTCTTTGGAAATTGTCATATTTTTTAATTTTCGTGAAATTGGCCAAATTGCCAATTTCTGACCACTTTATTGGGTAGTTGAAATCGGTAAATGGGCAGTTTCTTGTACTCAGTTGATAAAACAAATGGAGTTCTAAAGGAATAGTTATGAGTTTGGTCGACTGGAACAATGGAATTAGCTGAAAATAAGGCTCAAATTGGGCAAAATCACCGATTCGTAAATATCGCCGAGGTAGCTAATTTTGCGAGAGTGTAATTCCATAAGTTTTCCATCAAATTTCATACTTTTGGTGACATTACCATCGGGAAAAGATTCTTTATCATTTCATAAGAAAAAAATATTTTTTTTTCAAATATTTTGCGACACCAGGGGACACCTCAGGATTTAGGGTTTCGACAGTCAAAGGGTTAATTTAAAAATATGAATGAAATATTTATTTTGATTATATAAAAAAAACTATACAAAATGGATATTAGAGGGCCTACACATCTAGGGGCATTGACGTAAATACCCACATTTGCTGTCATGTTAGTTAGACATTGATTTAGCTATTTTGGTATGGAGTATATTTAAACAGTAATTGTAAGTACGTACAGTGGTACCTTGAGTTACGAACTTAATTCGTTCCAGAAGGCTGTTCGAGTGCCGATACCGAATGAGTTTGTTCCCATAAGGAATAATGTAAATTAGATTAGTCCATTTCAGACCCCCAAAAATATACTTACAAAAGCACTTACAAAAATACACTTACATAATTGTTCGAGTTGGGAGTTGTTTGAAACTCGAGGTACCACTGTAGAATAAATATAAAATACCTCTATATGATGAACTTCGGAAATACTCAGCACAATCCACTGGGTCAGTTGGTATGAAAGCAATAATGGTGTCCCATAGCTCGATCACTAGTGCACTCAGTTCACACACACTGAGGTCTGGAGTTCAAATCCCGGGTACGACTGGAAAAACATTAGGATATAAGTATTTCCACAAAACACCTGCTGTCCATGTTCACCCATCAATATAAAATGGGTACCTGGGTGTTAGTCGACTGGTCAATCAGGTTGTTGCTGCTGGTGGCCCGTTGCCCAACATATCCATCACAGCTTGGTTCATCCAGCACCTGGTGAAATTACTTGTCCAGTTTTTTCTAAGATGTCTACACTTGTTCCAGCAGTGTTTCTGATATCTTCTGGTAAAATGTTGAATAATCTGAATAATCTCGGGCCACGAATGTTGATACAGTGCTCCCTTGTTGTGCCCCACAGCACCCTTGCTTTTCACTGGATTTATTTTGCACTTCCTCCCATCTCTCTCACTCCAGTATGTTGTTATGGCAGTTGCAGATTTGGGACTAGGCCCTCAAGTACCTTCCAAGCATATATTATCAATTCTCTCTCTCTCCTCTGCTCCAGTGAGTACATATTCAAGACTTTAAAGGTGTTCCCAGCAATTTAAAAGCTCTACTGGCTCTATGTAGGCCATAAATGTTCTCTGTATTTGTTCCAGCTCTGATATTTCTCCTGCCTTGAATGGGGCCATCAACACTGAGCAATATTTCAAATGAGGGAGCACTTCCAATTTGAAAAGTGTCACCACTGGTATTATTTCCCCTTGTTTTGAAGGTTCTCAATATCTACTTCGTCATTCTCCTGGCTGTCATGACCTTCATCTTATTGAACTGTTCTCTGAAAGACAGATCAACTGACATAGTTATTCCCAAGTCTTTCATGTATTCCTTTCATTCTATTTGATGATCCTCTTGAGTACTGTATACAGTGCTCCTTTTGAGTTGTTCATTCTTTCTATACCTAAGCAGTTGGAACTTACCACCACAGAATGTCATATTGTTCTCCACTGCCCACTGGAAAACACCACTTATATCTTCCTGTAATTTTTCAGTGTCTTCTACTGTAGTGACTTTCATGCTTATTTTAGTGTCATCTGCAAATTATGGTACAAAACTGTAATGGATGTTTTTATCTATGCTAAGAGGATGAGAAACAGCAGAGGTGCAAGGACAATGCCTTGGGAACTGAGCTTTTTACCTTGCTGGTGCTGGATTTTACTATGTTCACTACTACTTTTTGTGTTCTGTATGTTACGAACCTGAAAATCCATCTGCCTACCTTCCCCATAATGGCTACGGTCCTCATTTTGTGTGCTATCACCCCATTTCCACATCTGTCAAATGCCTTTGCAAAGTCTGTGCAAAGGCATTTGACAAATGCGATAATTACATCGATGATTTACTGTAACAAGTTTGTCAATTATATGCTGGCTAACCTTGTCAGCAACTGTGTGATTAGAGGTCTTAACTCCGAGTGCAACTGCTGTAGCAATTTGGACTCTGCCAGCAAATTCCTCAACTGTTTCACTTTCTCCTCTTTCCAGTTTTCCAATGTACCTGTGGGATAAACAAAATTAGAGACATTTAAGCATACACATTATGTACACTGTGTAATTATATTATTTTAAGATAAGTGAGATAAGAGTCAGGAAGAAACTTGAGTGGAGCACAGATATGTAGACTAGTCAAAGAAAAAGATACAAAAAAAAAAACAGTAAAATTTTCCATGGCTAACATTTTTCAAAGTAAATCCCTGTGAAGCAATATCTTCTCTAGGTAATACACTGGACCCTCGGTTATCAGCTGTAATCCGTTCCAAAAGTTCGGCCTAAAATCGAAAAGGCTGAAACCTGAAATAATATTTCCTATAAGAATTAATGTAAATCCAATTAATCCGTGTTAGACATCCAAAAAGATTAGTAAAACATATATTTTTTAAAGATCAACTATAGTTTTACATACAGGAAACAATGAGTACATTCATTACTTACCTTAAAATATTTTTAGTCTTAATGTAGGGCAAGAGGTGAGTAGTATTTATTTGTAGGAAGTCAGTGTAGGCAGTGGTAGATGTAAGTACAGTATACATGTAGCTCCCCCTGGGATACACTACACAGCCATATTATTACAACAAAGGTGTTGAGAGGGTTCGTGGAGATATGATGGTTGGAGCTAAACACACTTGTGGATGGTAACACTTATATTAGCAGAGTGTGAAGAGGGGAGCCCAGCCTGCCGTGTGTTGCCTGTACTTACACCTAAGCGTGGAGTGAGGGAGGAGGCTGGGAGTGCAGCGCTCATATGCGGCATCATATGACATCACACAAGCTAGTCACTGAGCCTAGCAAGGGGTCAACTACGTAAAACATATGGATGGTACTAACTATGATACTCAGATAAACATATACATGTACAGGGGATCAGCAACTATGCTGACAAAGGGAGAAGTAATGAATAATTCATGCTGAGAATTGTAAACAAAAGCATATGATGGGAGGTTACAGAAAAGACACCAGACTCACAGTTTTCTCTAACACTGAATCAGAGAAAATATAATGTTTACTCTCCACCCGACTGACTCTCCACTCGATAGCATGTAAACACTGCATGTGTATACGCTATATGCTATGTAACGTGTTTCTTATATAATTTTGAAGAAAATATCATAGATGGATTAATGAAAATGCCTATACAGTGGAACCCGAGTTTCGAACGTATCGACTATCAAATGCTTCGAGTTTCGACCGCTTTTTTCGAACCAATTTTGTCCCGACTATCAAACCCACCCCATCTTTCGGACCGCCGGGTACCAGACCTGTCCACCTGCCCACTCTGCCCACGTCCCCGCGCAGGCATTGTGAGCCAGTCTGGCTTTGTTGATGCTTGAGTGAATGCTAACCTGCATGCTCATTCAAACATTTCAATATTAATTCATTGTGGTTGGTGCTTGTGGGACTGTGAAATAGGCTACCATGGACCCAAAGAAATTTGCTAGTGGTACCCCTGTGGTAAAGAAAGTGAGAAACACTATAGATGTGAAAAAGGAAATAATACAAAAATATGAGAGTGGTGTGCGACTTGTTGAGCTTGCCAGGATGTACGGGAAACAAGTCAACCATCACTTCTATCCTGGCAAAGAAAGAACAAATTAAGGATGCTGATGTCGCAAAAGGTGTTGATATGCTAACCAAAAATCGACCACAGACAGTCGATCATGTTGAGAAGTTGTTGCTGGTGTGGATCAAGACTAAAGCTATGGTGGGTGATAGTATTTCTGAGACAATTACAGTGGTCCATTGATAATCGTAAGGCTCGATAGTCGTAATTTTCGGAAATCGTAACGATGTTTTCATCAAAACATTGGCTCGCTAATCGTAGATTGACTTGTGAATAATCATTCGTCTGGGACGCGTACTCATGCTCTGAGCCACCCCGGCCTCCCTTCCCAGCCAGTGTGGCATTGTTTACCAGTGAGCGACGGTCCCCTTACTTGCTCATACGAAATATTTCATAATATTCCATTCATTTTAGTGCTTGCAACTACTAAATAAGCTACCATGGCTCCAAAAGAAAGCTCCTAGTGCCAAGCCTTTGGTAAAGAAGGTGAAAAATATGATTGAATTTAAGAAAAACAAACCCCATACAACCATAGCTTCCATCGTGGCCAAGAAAAAGGAAATCAAGGATGCTGTTGTTGCAAAGGGGGTAAATATGCTGACAAAAATGAGATCACCAGTACTCGAAGAGGTTGAGAAGTTATTATTGGTGTGGATAAATGAGAAACAATTAGCAGGAGGCTGCCAGTTTGAACCACAAAGCAGCTGAAAAATATGTGCATGAATTCAAGGAGTACATAGAGGCTGAAGGACTGAAACCTGAACAAGTGTTCATTTGTGACGAAACAGGCCTCTTTTGGAAGAAAATGCCAAAGAGGACCTACATTACTCAGGAGGAAAAGGCACTGCCAGGACACAAGCCTATGAAAGACAGGCTGATGCTCATGTTCTGTGCTAATGCTAGTGGGGATTTCAGAGTGAACCCGTTACTAGTGTACCATTCTGAAAATCCCAGTGTGTTAAAGAAAAACAATGTTATGAAGAGTAAATTGTGTGTGTTTTGGAAATCTAATAGTAAGGCATGGGTCACGAGGGAAATTTTCATCGAGTGGTTCAATGAAGTGTTTGGCCCTAGTGTGAAGAATTACCTCCTGGAAAAGAAATTGGATCTCAAGTGCCTCCTAATAATGGACAATGCACCTGCTCATCCTCCAAACTTGGATGACCTAATTTTCGAGGAGTCCGGGTTCATCACAGTAAAGTTCTTGCCCCCGAATACCACTCCTCTCCTCCAGCCCATGGACAAGCAGGTCATTGCAAACTTTAAAAAACTCTACACGAAAGCAATGTTTCAAAGGTGCTTGAATGTGACCTCAGACACTCACTTGACCCTAAGAGATTTTTGGAGAGAACACTTTAGTATTTCCATTGCATAAGCCTTATAGGTAAGGCTTGGGAGGGAGTGACTACCAGGACTTTGAACTCTGCTTGGAGAAAACTGTGGCCAGATTGTGTCCACAAGAGGGATTTTGAAGGGCTTGGGGCTGACCCTGATGAGCCTATGTCAGTTGTTAAATCTATTGTGGCACTGGGGAGTTCCATGGGTTGGATAAGAGTTTGGAGGATGTGGAAGAGTTGGTGGAAGACTACAATGAAGAGCTCACCACTGAGGAGCTGCAAGAGCTTCAGCAGGAACAGCAACAGATTGCAGCTCAGAATCTTGCTGCAGAGGAGGAGGAAGAGAGATGGAAGAAGTTGCCTTCTTCAGAAATTAAGGAGATTTTTGAAATGTGGGGTAAGATGGAAAGATTTATGGAGAAACATAACCCTGACAAGGCTGTTGCAAGCCATGTTGGCAACTTGTACAGTGACAAAGTCCTGGGCCATTTTAGGGAAGTGTTAAAGAGATCGCCAGAAACAGAGCTCTCTGGACAGTTATTTTGCAAGACAGGACTCCAGTGACTCTCAAGGTGGTCTTAGTGGCATTAACCCTTTGAGAGTCGACAGGCCCTCTCCGAAACTCGTTCTCAGGGTCGGCCAAATTTAAAAAAAAAAAATAATAATTTTCTCTTATGAAAAGATAGAGAATCTTCTCCCGATCATAAGGACACCAAAAGTTTGAAATTTGATGGAACACTTACGGAATTATGCTCTCGCGAAGTTAGTGGTCTCGGCGATGTTTACGCATCAGCGATTTTGCCCACTTTGAGCCCCATTTTCGACCAATTCCACTGTACTAGTCAACAAAAAACATGAATATTTTGCTAGAACTCCACTTTTTCTATCGAATGGGTGCAAGAAACCACCCATTTATCAAACTCAATTATCCAGTACAGTGTTCAGAATTTAGAAATTTTGCCAATTTCACACAAATTTCAAAAGATGCCAATTTCCGAATAGAGTCCAGAATAAACAAGAAAGACATTCCTAGCACTAAAATGACATTTCCTCTGGTCATTAGTCACGTCTCACGGCCCCTCTTATATTCTTTTGCTTTCCACTTTAAATTTTTATTCTCACAAACAATAGAAGATTTACTGTTATGCAGACTACTGCATTAGTGTAAAAAATGATATAAATATTATTGGCGCACTTGTGAAAGAATATAGACTCACCAGTTGACGTGTATTGGACGTTTGGCACGATTTGTTTACTTTTGAAATTTGCTACTTTGAGCTCAATTTCAAGGTACCTTTCATTGTACCTAACTTCACAACAGCAGTAACAAACATTGACTGGCACACTGAGCTAGAAATCTATACAGATATTGACGAATGTTTTAATAATTTTCTAAAAAAGACCCAATACCTCTATAACAAGCACTGCCCTAAAAAAGCTAAACAGATGACAGCTAAGAGACTGAACAGTCCCTGGCTAACACCCAGCATTCTCAAATCCATTAATACAAAACACCGATATGAAAAACAGTACAGAATGGGTCACATAACCAGAGACCAAACAAAACATTACTCGTCAATCCTAACCAGCCTGATAAGAAGGGCAAAAAAACTGTATTATGAGAACAGATTATCCAACTTACGAGGTGATATAAAAAAGACCTGGAAGACCCTATCAGAAATTCTGGGAACAAAAAAGATATCGCGAAATAGCGAAATAAAATTAGCAAAATCAAATGAACCCCAACTCCCACCAACAGAAACAGCAAACAGACTCAATGATTTCTTCTCCACTATAGGAAGGACAAAACCTTGCCAATAAAATCCCAAGCTCAGATACCCCACCAAATGACTACCTCACTGGCAACTACCCGAACACACTGTTCCTAGCTCCGACTAACCCATACGAAGTCTCCCTTATTATCAACGCACTAAAAAACAAGGCAGGAGATTTAAATACCTTACCACCCTTTATATACAAAAATGTGTCACAAGTACTATCACCAATCATTGCAACACTCTTTAACAAATCCATTGAATCCTCCACCTTCCCTACAGCTCTCAAAATAGCAAGGGTCACCCGATCCATAAAGGAGAAGACCAA